CCAGTTGGGATTCTTAATAATTTATGTTCTATTTAAAATATTTGCTTATTTATTTACAGTGTCCCCGATTAGTACAACAGTGCTCATACATTTGGCACTTAAATAAATATATATATAAAAAAAGTTACTCGAATTCAAATACACAGATGATCAAATAAAATTTAAAATGTAGTTATTTTTAAATTATTTTTTATTTTTAAAGAAAACAAAAGTGTTTTACATACTTCATTGACTTCCTGGGTGCCAAATTGATCTTTCTGCGGAAGACTAAGATCATCTATGAACATATTGAGTATTTTTCCTTTCTTGGCTCCATACACGAAACCTAAAACACCAAGGAAAGACAAAAGAAATCGTTACACATTTGCGCCAAATATGCAGCCTATTGTCTCTGCTAACACTTTTTAAACAGTCTACAACTTTAACACCACCGAATAATGTTCGGTGTTCATTATTGAGGTAATGAAAATTTTTAAAAAAAATTTAGGCTTGAACGGGATTCGAACCCTTGACTTCTGCAACACTGGTGCAGTGCTCTACCAACTGAGCTATCAAGCCAATCGGGAGATGGTCACTTTATGATCAATCATGTCTTCATATCTTTCTCCCCAGTTCATACAAATTTCGATGCAACGTTCGTTGCGTGATGAAAGTTATTGCCCTTCATGCCACCTATGCTTCTTTTGTAGCCTGCGTGCGTACCATACTATTTCCTTCCACGCAGACTATTTGTTTTGTAATCCAACGAACAAAATTAGTAAGACTATTTAATAATTAGACCCGTAGTCCGCAAGGGCTACGGGTCAATAGCCGATGAGGCGAAGCCGAATGGGCTATTGACCCGTGGCCCTTGACGGCGAAGGGTCTAATTGTTTTAGTATCACCCAACTTGTCGGACAGAAAAGGCAATAATAAAGTTAGCAAATGCGAGTTGAAGAAATATTTTTTGGGAATAAAACAAAAGAAAGCGTCACGCTCGATTGCGCCATTTTCGCTACTCGAGGACTATTACTAATAGTCCTCTAGTAGCGTAGCCAATCAAAATGCAGAATTTGCATTAGTCCACTAGTTGGATGATACTAAATCTTGTTAGTGTAAATGTAAGTCACGTCTTGAAAAAAGTTATCCAAGGTACAAAAGTGCACCTCACCTTGTCGATGGTAAATGTTCTGCTCAACAAACTGCTGTAATGAGGCAGCTCCCGAGGTGCCAGAATACACATAACGCTTGACGATCTGGTTCTTGTCCTCTGGAAAAACAGAGGAAAGGATGGAAAAAGGAATAAAAAATGTGGAATGTGCAATGGAATGAAAATGAAAAGAAAAAAAAAAGGAAAAAAAAAACACCCCACTGTGAGAGGCGTGGTTGCTTAATGTGTCAATGGTCAGGGTGGGTTTGAACCCTAGCCGGAATCCTTGTGTTGTTCTTGGGCAAGACTCAGTCTCCCTGACTCACAGTGCATGTCTCCACATAGGAGTATCAATGGGAACTGGCAAGCTGTTTGGGCAAAGTGACAAAATGCTGGAGGGTAGCCTGCGATGGACTAGTATCCTGTTCGAAACGAAGAATCAGTACTCCTTACATGAAGTGAATGATCTTCAATCACGCACACCTGAATAAAGCCCGAAATACTGCTGACAACTTATTATGATTTGTTGTGTGCTCTATTTAAAGTAACCACAATGTAATGCTCTGGTTCTGACCCTCACCTTGCTTGTCCAGGAAGTCGCTGATGAGTGAGGTTTTTCCACATCCTGGCGGCCCTGTTAACAAAATGTTTCTGCCAGAAGCGCTGGCCAGCTCCATGAACTGACGTGTACGGATCTAACAAAAGTGCACCGTTAATGAGACATGAATCTTTGTGACGGTGCAGTGAAATTCGTGACTTTCGTTTAACTCTGCAGCTCTTAAGTAAAAGTTCTGTGAAACTAGGCATTATTACATGAAACATATCCCTCAATTACACAGACGTTCTTATTTAACAACCTTAGACAGTGCATACAAATTTCGATGCAGCGTTCGTTGCGTGAAGAAAGTTATTGTCCTTCATGTAACGTATGCTAAAACGAAATTGTTACCAGCCCGCTGAGGAGGAGTTGGTTTTGGCGTTTTTTGATCAGCTTTTGTTACAAACAAAATTACAAGACACATGTTAAATGTAAGTTGTAGGAAGGAGTTCCTGGTAGACTTACCGTATCAATTGTGTCCACGAAGACCTCGCCAAGGAGATCTGCTGCGTCGAAGTAACTCACTTCTGGAACTCTTTCGATTTTAAAGCGAAAACAGTGACAAGTTAATGTACTACGGATAAAGGAAACCATGTATCACTCTATTTAACAAATACACTCCATGTTGCCGTGCGTCTGTTCAATAACATATTTTGACGTCATCTGTGATCAGTTACTGAACAGACACATGGCAACAAGGAATCTAATTGTTTGATAGAAAGAAAAAAAAAGATGTTAAAGAGGTCATCTATGCGTCTGTACTCTAAATGATCATAAGTAAGAACCAATCAAAATGCGAGAATAATTTGCCATATGATATAATTCACATGCTTCAGCGTGCATAATCGAGTTTTGGAGCGCGCGCTGGAAGTTTGGACGGCACGGAAAAAGAGTAAAAGTTGCTCAAGGCGCAACTGAAAGCATCTTTAGCATCCCGAGTGTTATCCAAACTTCCCAAGCAGATCACAACTCGCCATTGGAAGAGTTCAATAACTGCAATCTGGAATACTTTCGAATAGTTGCCATATTCAGACCTGCCTTATAAAAAAGTACATGTCATTTTCTCCTGCATTTAAATACAATTCTAAATTAGATGCTGTATACACCTAATGTGTATAAGGAGGTGTAATGGCCTTATGGTTACCGCACTGGCTTGATCGCCTGAAATCTAACCTTGACTGCCATGGATCCCATTCGCCGGATTCATCAACATAGTAGTCAAACACGGAAATTTCTTGGTCGTAGTCTGGTAAAGCAGTTGTTAATGAGAGAAGAAGCTCGCTAAACTTCTTCCTGTCTGGCTCATCTAGCAGACCTCCAAATGACCAGATGAGCGAAAACAGGAACAACCTTTCAATATGGAGCTCACCACCAATGTCAGTGTTACCCTAAAGTGGAGAAAAAGAGAGGCTCTACCAATCCGCGATTGGAAAATATTCATCTCACAAATGAAATACCAGTAGCCCATGATTTTATTGCCACGTAGATAAATCAGTCTGCAGCGACACAGCCTTGTTTAGCTGCAGTCAAGCCAGTTTCTTAGCATCTGATGGAAAAACAACAAAGTTCCTGGCAATTCCGCTCACGGTTATCAACAAAGCATATATAGTCAAAGAGGAATTACACATGCAGTGGTCCACGAAAATGATGTACGAAACATAAGAATGTTTATTGTTGTAGTATGTTGTAGCCGTGTTATGAAAGTCACATCTACTTTCCTTTTCAAGCTCACCTCGATTAAAGCTTTCAACAATGCAAGACAGGTGTTAAACAGGCCAACCTCACAGACTTTCATAAATGGTCTGAAATGTAACAACACAGATAACAGGAAATTTAGTGAAAAACTCAGAACAACTAAAACAGCTCTAGCTTGTTCATCGAACGTGTCTTAGGAATAAGGCCTCGGCAATTGAATCCTAAACAGCCATCCAACCTTCCAACAGAGTTCTTGTCATTTGTAAAATGATTAGCAATTATTGGACGAAATTGAACAAATATCGTGATTTGTCAGTGGTGAGCAGATCATTTACTTTCCAAAGCTGAAGGCCGAGGCAAATAATTGATCTGCGAGACACTGACAAATCACGATATTGTGCAATAACCTAATTCAGTAATTGTTTTATCATTCGATCACCAAGTTTGTTTTGATATTTAAATCACTCTCTGACAGCTCAGGGAAGCGATCTGCCATTTTTTACCCGAGAGCGTGGTTACAATTACGCATGCATGAGCAGAATATTATTTGCAGCAAAACACATTTTTACGATAACTGCAGAAATTCTCGCGGCTATCGCCTCGTGGATCCACAACTACTTTGACAATGTTATGACGAAATTCATTATCAATAATAGGCTCGACGCATGAAAAATTGACGTCAATTTTGTTAGTTAGACGGTAGTACGTGTGAGCGGACCATTATTGTAGGCAGTTATTTGTAGGTCAAGTTGTGGGCTCTCGGCCAATGAAAAGAAGGGAGAAAATGCATCGCATGATAATCGTATTTATGTTAAATTACCGAATGAATCCATCTGTTTTGGGTCTCTATAACAAGATGACATGGTTATAAACACCAGACATAATATACATGTAATAGCATCAAACCTGGCTTCATATTGAACAAACTGCGAGATGACATCGACAGTCTTGTTGAATGCACGTTGCAAACACTGAGGAAGAATGAGAAACAATCACGGAAAGTTAGCTGCTGTTTTATACAAAATGAGCAATTAATAAAAGGCAATTTCGGAAGACTATATTAGATATTGGTACGTCCGATTATTGTAAAAGGCAAGAAAGCTTTTACTAAAATAACTTTTGTCTGTGAACGTCGATCTCTATCAAATAATAAATTATTGTGTACCCAAGACCTAACGGAGCCACGTCACGCTTTCTGCATCTTGAAAAGTTTAGCCTAAATTTTTCAAGTTTGACGTTTGCGATACGTGTTAATCTTCTCCATCCTTCACCATTCTTGTTCCTTTATGTTTTATTATATCTCTTTGGTATTTTTCTATCATAGTAAACTAATATTTTGGAGGTTTCCGTCAATTTAGAGGTAATTTTGCGCATGGCCAAAATAACTCTAAATACCGTGATTGAGCTCCTTTAAAGGTGAAAGTTAAACCTCCAATCTTAAAATCTGAGACTTAAATCTTCTGGTGAAGTCTAAGTGCTGTGAAATTGTGTTTAAGCTTAACAAGATTAGGTAACGTGCTAAAGCCTGACTTTTGCCGTAACTACTAAGGTTAGTTTTTAAAAGCACATTGTTCATCAGTGGATACTCACATGGCTTTCTTGAGGAGATCTGTTTGTTAGCCAGGCTTCCGCTAGAGGTCTCCAGCCAAGCACGCTCTCGTCCATGTAGACCACTCCCTACAAAGGACAAGGAGGTTTAACATAATAAATCAGTAACAATACAACTACAAGAGTACTACATTGCGATGTATCATTCCATTCCATTAGCAACCAAGAGTTGTAAGGTAATCCAAGAGATTCCACTTTTTATTTCCGCTCATAAATAGTGTCAAAACATTTAACACTTAATGCCTGGTCCCGAGGGGATCAGTGAATTTTGTGTCCCGAGAATCTCAATGTTTCCCGAGACGAAGTGATTTGTTTTATAGCAAAACAAATGGGTCAAACCGGTGTAAAAAAAAAAAATAATCACTTTATTGCAACAACGGTCAACATTTCGCGGGTAACAGTGAACTGTTTCCCGTTTGACGTCATAGTTTTCGCAAGGTTACACGCTCATGGCATTTGGCGGTAAACAGTTTCATTGTTAGATATCATGTACCATGAACTAGCCAATGAATGGGCGCGCTGTTGCGGGAAAAACGCCAGCTATATAACAACGTCGGATATCACACTTATTTCAGTCATTCTAGGGCTGATAAGCGCATCGACATACGTTCACTGTCATTTTCAAGTTGGCGTGATACAGTTGAACATCTCTACAACGGTCACCTTGAGAACAGAGGAAAGAGGCCGTTGTACAGAAATGGCCGTTATGAGGAGGTAGGGGTGTTATATAGCACCTGTCCTTTTTTGTTTTTACAACATTTATTTTTTGTGAAAAAAGATGCTTATTTAAGTATTTAAATACGTAATACCATCAAAATAATTGTATCAATAAAACAAAAACAAAACAGAACAGAGACCAACGGACGCGTGGTACGGATCAAGTTTGGTGACCTCTTTCAATAAAAAAGCGCGGTTTTGTTTACACCGTTCTTCCGTCGTTCATTAACTGGCCGTTGTCGAGAGCTTATTTTGGCAGTTGGGACGAGCTTTAGTGACCGTTGCCGTTGTGGAGAGGTGGCCTTTGTACAGAGGCTAAAATAAGAGTGAACGTTCATGTATGGATATGTATTCGTTGTTAAGAAACAACTGCACTTACACATCTCGAGACCGTGGCAGGAGAAGCATCTGTCAAGTCATTAGTCTCAAATATCAGTTTGACATACTCTGATAGGTACAGTCTCTCACCATTCAATAAGTTCAGATACTGAAAACAAATCAGATATCACCAAATTAGTAAACGGCACGTGAGATTCGAGATCATTCAAGATTTTATTAGTGTAACAACAATGTCAAGAAGAAAAAATTTTGGTCAGCTAAAGAATGGACCAACCAAATGATTTACCCCATCTACTAGTCAGAGCTTGACATCTCAGGGAAAGAGAAAGGTTCAAACATACCAGACTTAGCAAAAAGCCAGTTAATTATATTTTCTCCAACCGGAAATGCAACGACTTTTACGTAAAGGTAAAGGTAAAGTCTGTATACGAGCCAAGTGGCCCATCAGGCCGGAGCTTATCATGAAGCGACTAGGAGTATTTCTATTCCCCCCTGGATGGGATGCTGGTCCTTCGCAGGGTTAACCCTGCATTACGTTCGCCAGTGCCCATTATACACCTGAGTGGAGAGAGGCACTGTAAGAGTAAAGTGTCTTGCCCAAGAACACAACACAATGTCTCCGACCAGGGCTCGAGCCCGGACTGCTCTATCCAGAGACGAGCGCATTAACCATGAGGCCACCGCGCCTCCCTACAATGAATTTTAATTCCTACTAAATTTGCTGCATTTTAAGAATTTCCTGAAAGAAAGTGCAACACTCTCTTCTGCTGAGTGCAGTGAACTTGTTAATACCTCTCCTTTATCCAAGGCGCTGCTCAGAAATTCTGCCCAACCCTGATGCAGCGGAGCATCTAAGCAAATCCAAGTCGTCATTTTGTGCACACTGTGTTCCTTGTTGGCCTTTCTGAAGTAAGCTGTGAAGATGCCGTCCTCAAAATCAGAAGAAGAGTTCACTTTGCCAAACATGAGTGCAGGATCCGACACAGCTAAAGGATTGATTCTCTGTAACTTGTGAGTGTGCATCTGAGAGCCGGTGTTCTTGTGTTTTATCAGGGAACATTCACTCAAGGTCTCCACGAGCCCTGAAATGCACGACGATTTGCCGGTGCCAGGCGGTCCAGCTACAATGATCCCTGGAGAAGAAAACAAACGAAACACATCCATCAACAAAATGTCTCCCTTGGAATGGGGAAAGATCTTACGATACAAAAGGCTTTAAAATGTTCGCTGCATTCTGAAACTTCCTGAACTACATTGCAATTTACCTCTACGAAACAAAGGCTCGAGCAAAAAATTAATTCATGTACGATGTATACATCCCGACTCACAGTCAGTCACTCAACAGTCATTTCAAAATATAGAGGAAGTTTAAGTAGCTAAGACGGCGATGCAGAGAACACATTCGATGAAAAAATGAATTTATATTTTACGTACGAAGCTAGCGATACTCGTAAGCCATTAAATTAGTTTCTCTTTGTCAAAACTATCCTGAAATTGACTATGGAACACAGCATAAAATTCCACACATATATTTCAAAAACTATCCTTCGTGGTACACGTTCTTCACACACGCAAAATTTGGTCATTTCACGTCGCTATTTTACGGAGGACGGCAAAGAAATGTACCAAGAATTATAATGCACGTGCACAGCCATTGTTCTCCTCATGAAACCTTTAGTTTAGCGACGCTCCCATTGCAGCCGGTTGCAGTTGTGGTTTTCTTAAACTCCCTAATATCTACACCCAACTACACCATCCAAACTCCTTTGTCCCTTTACTTTTTCAACAGCTCCAGCTAGTTACAGTAGCCAATACGTTTCTAAAGATGTACATTTCGTGAGTCTCACAGCCAGCACTGCCCACCCAGAGAAAAGGTCAATTTTAAGCTCCTTTTTCCGTTCACAGTTTCAGAAATTGATCGAGCAATGATGTATGCTCCTATATCTTCATAAGTTAGCAAACTTGATAAGTAAAGGTAGCTCTTGTAAAGAACCATTTCCGAGTTACCTTGTGCCTCTGTTTCAAAATGAGTCCTCGAGCAAAACTTTTGATTTGGAAATGAGTTTTATCTGCATGAAAATGAACCTGTAGGCGGAACACATTTTCATATGCATAGTTTCGCACGAAGACTCGTTTTGGCACAGAGGCAAAAGGCAACTCGTAAATGGCCTGTTCACTTGTGTCAATGACTTATACCTCTGTGAACTTTTGACAGGGTCCACAGTTGGTGTATTTTTGCAATCCAGGGTTGATGAGGAACAAACCCTTTCTCTCTTGTGTGCGTCAGGAGAACACTTTCGAAATCTTGAACCACTTTGGTAATGTGATAGGCTGGAGCAGGAGGCTTTGGCAATCCGTAAAACACATCTCGCAGCACCATGTTAAACACGTTAAGTTCCTAAATGTCAAGAAAGGTTAAGTATTGGAAGTACGTTCACAAAATTACATGACTATGAACAGGTGTAGTCCAACACAGCAGCGTCTCCATCACCGACTGCACAAATGATTTCTCTCAGAAAAAATAAGATTAAGATGTTCGCCATGAAGTCTTGAAGTCACTGCTAAAGCTCTCATCAAGATAGCGTTTTATTCATCACTACAACTATCTGGTAAACAAAAAATGGTAGGACTAAAGCAAATACAATGTGATGGAAAATTCTATTCTCAATCACACTAAGGCACAGTCATTTTAAAACCTAACAATGGACTTAAGACACAACAGTAATCCAGCTACCTCAGGTGATAGTCTTGGGCCAATACATTCCTGGAGTGACTGCAACACCAACGAGTGCTCGAGTCTGGCGGCAGAGGACAAAGCTGAAGGTGTAGTTGGCTTCTTGTCTTTCTGACCAAACTGGTTTCCTCTGTCCTTCCCAGCACCTGCAAAAACACGAGAAGAATCGATTTTTTTTTATCGTGTGCACAAAGTCTTAAAGGTCTTTTTGCTTTCACAGACTTTCACCGAAACGTTTGTCATCAATTTCCGATTAAATTAAGGAAAGGGCCATATCTCTTATTAACACTTTCTCTACTTATAGGAATGTTTTGCGCTTCAAACTCTCGCAGAATTTTCCACGCATCCTGCTGACGCGGTCAACAATCATGAACAAGTGACTGGTTGAGGTACGCAACTGCAAATTTTACCATAGTTTTAAATCATAGGCTACAACTGTTGTTCTATTAACCAGAACGACCAAAGAGAGATTTAGAACCAATAGTGACAGAACACAACTAACATCGCATATTTATATATAAACCGTTTCACGCTGTTAGCTATTATTGTCTCGATCTAGGTATTCCATACCAAATTGTGTAGCTACTGATTGAGTGCTGGAGGGTCTTGCCAAGTCAGCTTGTGCAGCGTTTAGTTTGTTCCCGAGAGGCCCCTGTGAGACGCGTTTGTGGCCAGCATGCTGAATGACACCCACAAAGGAAGACAGACTGAAGTTGTGGTGACTCTTTCCACTCCTGCAAGACATGCACAGAGGTGACTGCCACGAATTATCAACATCTAATACCTCCTTACAGTATCAATACAATTTCAAGCTGACAGGTGGTGAGAATAGAGACAGTCATCATATCAGGAAGGGCCACTTCATGAGTCACCAAATTCTTAGATCGATAACTTTGTAACATAGCGGAACTGGTTCGTTGTTACATGTAAAATCAACACAAAATTTGTAGAGTTCACATTAACAGTACAGTCTTCAATGGGGGTAAGTCAGAATTATGATACTGTTCCTATTAAATAGGTATAATTTAATCAGCTTCCCATGGATTCCTGTTGCCAGTAGGTGATTTTGGTACTCATGTTACCAGGAGAGATTTTAAAAGAACATCAAGACTCATATACATGCTTGTTGGTTATAAGCTACTTAACTAGGGCTTGTAATTGAACTAGACGCTTTGCTGCG